TTTCCCTCTCTGTCATCCCTCCTGTTTCAATCACATTCACTCTCTCTGCTGGCTCATTTCCTTACTACCTACAGACATGTTCATGCCTTACTTATCTTCAAAAAACCTTCACTTGATCCTTCCATCCCTGCTAACTGTCATCCTATTTCTCTTCTGCCCTTTGGAGGCAAAATCATCTAAGGCTGTCTGTGCTGGGTACATCTACTTTCTCCCCTGTCACTTCTAAACCCCTTACAGTCTGGTTCTCAACTTTATCATTCCATGGAAACTGCTTTCTTCAGAGTTACCTGTTTATCTCTTAATTATCAAATCCAACGGCCTTTTTTTAAATCTTCATTCTCCTTGGCCTCTCTGCGACCTATAACAGTAACAGTAAGAATGATAACTAACATTTATGTAGCGCTTGCTATGTGCCAGGCACCGTACCGCGCTGCCTCAATAGGCAAATAAGAAATGCTTTGCTTGTTGTTCAAAGCCCTTCTTATCTTCCCAGGCTTCTTGTGCCTCACTTTCCAACACGTCCGCTTCAATCTCGTGGCACTTACCTCCTGACGCTCCATCTCAGCTGTGGGCATTCTCTCTGTCTCCCATGCTTGGAACACTGTCCCTCCTCATCGCCTCCTCTTGGCTTCCTTCAGGGCCCACCTAAAACCCCCTTCTGCAGGATTCCAGTGCCTTCCCACTGCCAGCTGTTTCCTATCCATCCTGCATGTAGAAGGCTTTGTGTAGCTTTGGTTGGATGTTGTCTTCCTCATTAGACTGTGAGCTCCTGGAGGGCAGGGTCTGTCTTCTGCTACTTTTTGTATCTCTATCACTTAGCACAGGGCCTGACACGTAGCAACCACTTAATAAATATTGATTGATTCCACAGAGATCACAATACTCAGAAATAAGCATCTGGGTAGCACAGGGGATAGAGTGCTAGACCTGGGATTAGGAAGACTTGAGTTCAGATCGAGACACTGACATTTATGAGCTGTGGAACCCTAGGCAACTCACTTTATTATTTTTTTTCTTAAGTCAAGTATTTTATTTGAGTTAAAATCCATATAAGGTACTATGATTTAACAATAACATTTTGCCTTTGTGTAGCATTCTACCCTCCTCCCCTGCTACGTTTCCATCTATGTAGAGAATTCCTGTATGGAAATCTCTTTCTTTTTTTTAAATTAATTTTTATTTTTCAACAATCACTTCCATATGCTTTTGAGTTTTAAATTTTTGTCCCCCTCCCTTTACGCCTCCCTTCCTAAGACGGCATGCAATCTGATATAGGCTCTACATATACGTTCCTATTAAACATATTTTCACATTAGTCATGTTGTAAAGAAGAATTAGAACCAATAGGAGAAACCACAAGAAAGAGGAAACAAAATAAAACAGAAGAAAGAAAAAAGAGCAAATAGTATGCTTTGATCTGCATTCAAACTCCATAGTTCTTTCTTTGGGTGTGGATAGCATTTTCCATCATGAGACCTTTGGAGATGTCTTAGAGCCTTGTATTGCTGAGAAGGGTTAAGTCTATCAATATTAGTCATTGTACAACATGACTGTTATTGTGTACAACATTTCTCCTGGTTCTGCTCGCTTCACTCAGCATCAGACCATACAAGTCTTTCCAGGTTTTTCTGAAGTCAGCCTGTTCATCATTTCTTAGAGCACAATAATATTCCATTACATTCATATACCACGACTTGTTCAGCCATTCCCCAACTGATGGGCATCCCCTCGATTTCCAATGCTTTTCCACCACAGAAAGAGCTGCTATGAATATTTTTGTACACGTGGGTCCTTTTCCCATTTGTGTGATCTCTTTGGGATACAGCCCTAGAAGTGCTATTGCTGGCTCAAAGGGTATGCACATTTTTATAGCCCTTTGGGCATAGTTCCAAATTGCTCTCCCCTTGTTTTCCTCCCTCCATCACTATATATATTTGTTTTAACTTATTTATATGTGTATTGTTTACCTTGACTAGAATGTGAGCTCCTTGAGGGCAGAGACTGCTTTGTTTTAGTCTGGGTGAATCCAGCAAGTGGCACACAGTAGCCACTTCATAAATGAACGAGGAGGCCAGTGATTTGGGGCGTACGTGGGGTGAGTGGGAGAGCATCAGCCACTCCGAGCAAGTGAATGTTTTCTGCCTGGTACCTGTCCATGGCAATACTGTATTCCACTTTGACGCCTCCAAATGCACACAAGTAGAGTACACATGCCATAACTCTTTTTCTGTATGGTCTCTCGTTTCATGAGCAAAGTTTTGCTGACTACTCTGACCAGGGATGGGGAGCCTGCAGCCTCCCAGCCATATGTAGCCTTCTAGGTCCTTAACTGCAGCCTTTTGACGGAATCCAAATTTTACAGAACAAATGAGAAGGCTGCAGGTTCCCCATCCATGCTGGGCTTTCTTAGAATGGAATTTTCTGTGTTAAAGATATAATTCACTTTTTAGTTATTTTTTCTTAATTATGGTGTATGTATAATACTTATGTAAAACAGTCGTCCTTTCAAGTTGTCACTGGGTATTTGGGAAGTTTCTGTTCTGGAGTGTGAGTTCCCCTAATTCTATCCACACACATAGATGTTGTCTTCACGTGCTCTTTACGGGATCTGTTAAAGACTTCTGGTTTTACAAAGCAGTTAAGCACAATTCTTTACTCATTTAATTTTAACACTAAAAATGGATTCTCTGATTATTCTTTAATGTGTGGAAATAAATCATGAATTTGTAGAATCTGTATTAATCTTTATTTAATTCAAATGTTTACTTGCCATTCTAGTAAAACTGAATAGCATGAATTCTCTAGTCATTACTTCTTCATATATTAAAGTAGCAGACTTCTGTCCTTGCCAATGTATTTATTTTATCTAAGGGTAATTTATTTTGGAATTTTGGAATTTTACATTTGTACTTGGGACCATAGAAATTTAGTAGCACTGTAGTGAATGGCACTTTGAGGTCTGACATGCTTTTGTTACACCTTGGAAAGTGTTTCAGAAAAATTAGTCACTTCCAAGAAATGTTATCAGTCCTGCTACTTTGCCATGCCCAGGCATCCATATCATGGTCCCCCAAGACATGCATATGCAATTTCTTTTTAATGCCCAGCCACAGTTATTGTTTTCTTATTCTGCAATCCTGTCACATTTTCATTGCCCTGAATAATTCTTTCTCCACTTACATATATTATATGATTTACTTGAAAAAATAAAACATTGTTCAGAAAGGAACCTGGACTTCCCATCCCTAGCACTGGGACCGTTCTGGAAGAAGGAAAACATAAACAGATCTAACTAAATGAAGCCCCATGCACTGGAGAGGCCAGAGAAAGATTTAATCCACCTTGTCTATACAAAGTGGACCCCTTACCCTTTCTTCTGGAGAAAGCAGTGTATTCTCATTAGACTTGGTACAGACAGATCCATCCAGGGAGCCACTCGGCCCTGGTGTGTCGGGGTGGGGGGGTGACTATGGGTCAGTCATTGACCACCTGTCCTCGTTTGCTCACCTGTCAATGGTGAACGGGGATCATGGTTGTATTTCCTGCCTCACGGTGGGGTTGGGAGAAAAGTGCTTTATAAGTTGTATTTCTGGGGAGCTGCCATTATTTCTGCCCAAGCTTCCCCTGACTAGCGCTGTCTTTCCTGGGCCCTGGTCAGACACTAACATTACACAGAATGCTCCTGAGGGATGAATTTTTCTGCTTACTAGCTGTGTGATCTTGAGCAACTCATTGCACTGAAATTTGTTTTCTTATCTGTGAAATGGGAATCACTAGCTAGGCAGATGCTGTGGTGAGGGTGTCAAGTCTAGACCTGTGATTTCATCAGTGTGGGGAGCTCCTGGGTAAGGAAGCTGCCTCTGCCCGTGTTTATCAGGGCCTTCCTCTAAGACGCCATTGTATGTGTTGTAGGAAAGTCCTGTGGTGATTCCGTGCTGTGCTCAGCTATGTGGCCATAGTTACTGGGCCTCCTCAGACTCAGTTTCCATATCTGCAAAGTGGGCTAACAATTCTTGTAATTTCTGCTTTGTGGGGTTGTCGTAAGATGAGATGAGGATGACAGAAAGCCTTATAAATGCCAACTTACTCAAAAGAGATCACCAGCCATTTTAAAAACAGAGGCCCATTTCAAACTTGCTGGCCATTTCTTTCAAGTTGTTAGATGGAACCATGAGCTAAATGTAAGGTGTAAATTGGTAACTTGTAGTAACATTTCAAGTTTGGTCCAAAGTGAATTAACTCCCGCAGAATTTATTGGAAACTGAAGCTGTTGCATTGCTTTAGACCCCTTCCAGTGAGCTGCCACTTTTCTGCCTGCGGTTTGACTTACCTCAGGGCCTTCAGGCTCAGCTGCCCTTGGAAAGGGTGGGTTTCCAGGACTTTGTTGGCTTGAGGTGTGAGGAAAGAGGAACAGACTACTTCTGTATTTCCAGAGAAATGGGTTTTTTCCCCTTTTACATGTGATATTTTGTTCAGTCATGTCTGATTCTTCGTGACCCCATCTGGGTTTTCTTGGCAAAGACACTGGAGTGGTTTGCCCTTTCCTTCTCTGGCTCATTTTACTGACGGGGAAACTGAGGCAAAGAGGGTGAAGTGACTTGCCCAGGGTCACGCAGCTAGTAAGTGTCTGAGGCTGGATTTGAACTCAGGTCCTCGTGGCTCCAGGCCTGGCACTTGAGTGATTGCAGTATTTTAGGTGGAATGAATGTAGAGCACAAGCAGCTGGGTGACCAGGGCCCTAGCTTGTTCTGCTGGCAGGCTTTATGTCGATGGTGTTAAGTCACATTCCAAACCTGCTCTTAATACTGAAATCTCCAGTGTGGAAAGCTGTTGCACAACAGCACCTGTGTGTCGTGTGTGCTAGTGAAAGTGACTGAGTTTGGAGAGTCGGAGGGTGGTTTTGATGAGCTAGAAATGTGCTTCGCCTTATGTCGTCCTCAGGAGGTCAGTCCCTGTCTCAGGACAGATTAACTTTAAGACATATTTCCTCTGTGTTTCAGTCGACCATACACCAACAAAGTGATCACTTTATGGTACCGGCCTCCAGAACTTTTGCTGGGAGAGGAGAGATACACCCCTGCGATTGATGTCTGGAGCTGTGGGTAAGGAACCTTGTATTTCTTGTTGGACTTGACTCAGTCTTATATTTCAGAGCAAAGTAAAGCCCTTTGGTAATGATGGTGTTTGTTTTCCAGATGCATCCTTGGTGAACTCTTCACTAAAAAACCAATATTTCAAGCCAACCAGGAACTCGCACAGTTAGAATTGATAAGGTAACCTTTTTAAGGGGGTTCTTATTTGAGATGGGAGTTAAGCTGTCCATAGCATCAGTGCTGTGCAACCTGTGCTGAAGTAAATGTTGTAGGGCTGCTGTTTGAGCTCAAGCCCTGCTCCCTCAGAGCATCAGCGTCTGTGGGATACTTAGTACAGAGCCTGGGAACCCAGAGGCCACCTTGGGAGTCTGTGCGAGGGATTTGAAAATCAGGAGCAGCTGGAAGGTTAGCATCAGGCGGAGCAGAGAGGAGAAGCAACTTGGGAAGAAGGAAGAAAGCATAGGGATGACATGAGGTAGAGTCAGGGAATCTTGAAAGTGACCTGCTGGGGGGAAAAGGGAGATTTATCTACAGATGGAGGAGGGTCCATGAAGCATGTGCACAAAGCAGCAGCATCCTGGGCCAGGCGGCTTTCTCTGAAACTCGGAGGTTGCTTAGCAGTCTTTTTTTCTAATTAAGAAATAATTCTCAGTTATATGAATATAAGTTGCCAATTTTGAGAATTTGAAAGGTTCAGAGTATTATAATTAATTCTTTATCACTCTAACAAAATACCATTTATTAGGGAGAAGCCATATAGTTAGAGGTACATATTTTTGGGGCTGCAGATACTAGGTGGCAACGGAGCTTTGTCCATGTTTTTCTTGTTTTGACTCAGATTTAACTAATGGAAACTTGCATGTATTTTAGAGGCTTACTCTCGCATAAGTGTCTTAGTAAATTTGTGATTATTAATAACCTTTCATGTCATAGATGTTCATTCTTTACTAGAATAATTTCCTCATTTTATTGTCCCTTACCATTTTTTGTTAAAAAGGGTACAGTTCAGCTTTTTACTCCAGCTTGCCCCATTGGGCAGACCTTTCTCTCTCTCATTGCTGCTTTTACACCAATTTCAGATTTTTCAGTTAATTAAAAAATTTATGGCAAATGGGTCAGTAGATTTATGAGCTTGACAATTGCAAAACCCTTCTCAGTAAGTGATCACCCTTGTCATTGAAACCAGTCTTTAACTGAGGAGATCCCCAATCATGTGAAGAAGAACGGTGCCCGTGCGTGTCCGGGCACACACTATGTGGATCGACAGGATTGGCATTTGTCTCCTTGGCACTGCTTTAGGGTGATTTAGGGCAAATGACAGCTGGGCAAGCTTCTCATAGCTTCTGTCCTTGGTCGTCTTGTGTCAGTGGATACCATTCGGGTTTTCAGTCACTATATGAACCTCAGCTCTTGAGCTTTGGAGTTTACAGATGCCTGAAGAGATCATTCATTCCTATCCCTTTGTTTTGAAGGTGAGGAAACTGAGGCCAGCTCGCCCATGGTATTACACCTGTAATTGGCAGGCCTGGGTCTGACGATTCCTGGTCCACCACGGCCACACTGCTTTTCATTCCTTTTTATTAAAACTGCTAAGTGCATGCAATACTGACTTGGAAACTGGTCAGGCACAGTGGCTCCTGCCTCCTGTCCATCCCACTGACAGTTCCTCACCAAGTCTGAAATCTGTGTGGCGAGCGTCTAGGAGCGCCTAGTCATTAGGCTGCCTGTGGACAGGGTGGAGACGTGGGGTGTGCAGCTTCCAGCCGGTGGGTGGCTGCAGTTAGGCAGACCCAGTCCCCCCAAAGCCCCATGTATTATTTTAAGAGATAGTATATAAGTATACATCGAGCAAGCCTTTAAAATTAGGCTTGCATCCTAGCTCTCCCCCTCAGCTCCTCACTGCCACCACCCCTACCCACTGTGTTCTTTTGATTCTGTCATTGCAACAACTCTGCTCTGATTGACTCATCCACCTGTTGGTGTAGACCCTCCTCACCTCATGCCTGGAGCACTGCACTAGCTGCTGCAGGGTCTCCCTGCCTCAGTCTCTCCGCTCTGCTATCTTCCTGAAGTACTGACCTGACCTCCTGACCCTATTATCCCTTACTTGATAAATTTCAGGGGCTCCCTGTCGCCTCTGAGATCAAACACTGAAGTCTCTGGTTAGTTGTTAAAGCCCTTCACAGCCTGGCTCCCTTCTTAGACTTTACCCCTTCCCTTGTACTCTTCAGTAATTCTGGCCTCCCGAGCCGGTGTTCACCCAAGATGCTGCCTCTCATGATTCTGCCCCTGGTGCCTGGCATGCATTCTCTCCTCCTCTTCTCTTCCTGGTTTCTCTGGTTTCCTTTACGTCCCAGCTCAAATCCCACTGTGTATGAGGAGCCTCTCCCGATTTCTTCTGGAATGGCCTCCCATCTACCCAGTGTACATCATTGTCTTCTCCGTTAGACTGTGAACGTTACCTGACGTTCAGTCAGTCAGTCACAACCAACTCTTGGTGACTCGGTGGACCATAGCTTGCCAGTGCTGTCCATGGAGTTTTCTTGGCAAAGATGCTAGAGGGGTTTGCCATTTCCTTCTCCAGTAGATAGGACAAAGAGAGGTGAAATGACCTGCCCCGGTTCACGCAGTCAGCGTCTGAGGCTGGATTTGAACTCGGGTCTTCCTGATTGTGTGCCCTGTGCTCTATCCACTGTAGTACCACCTCTCTGCCTCCCTACCTAGATCCCACTGTATGTCAGAGCTGTCGAACCTATCTTTTCAAAGAAAAACCCAATTAAACAGAATGTGATGTTTTAAAACACATTAAAATGTTATTCCTTGCTGATTCATTGTGTGTGTGTGTGTGTGTGTGTGTGTGTGTGTGTGTGTGTGTGTATGCGTGTGCGTGTAGCCTGATTGCACACAAAGTATGGCTTGTCAAATCCATCTAGTGTATAGTCCCACCTCATTTGTGCCTATATACGTGTGCATCCCTGTGTACCTGCACACATGTGCATGCAACACACACCCCCCTCCACATCTAGCGATGCACTGAAATCAGCTTTTTGGGGGAGACTGTCAGTCCTGAAAAAGAATAAACAGAACTAGCCCCATTTGCTTTTTTAGTTTTGCTGAAATATTGGTGGGTGAATTGGGTTTTTCCAAAGACACCTGAGATGTGTGGTCACCTGTTTATTTACATGACAGCAACTCTACCAAATGTAGCCCGCAGCCTGACTGACAGGGAGCCAGACTCAAAAATGGAAAAATCTGAATTTGATTCTCGTTTTGGACAAGTCACTTAACTTTGCACTGAGGCTTGGGCAACTCGGCTGTGGTGGAAAGAGAGCGACATTCAGAGTCAGGAAGACCCGAGTTCAAATTCTTCTTCAGACACAGACCAGCTTTATGACTTGAGGGAAGTTATGTCCCCTCAGTTTCCTTATCTGTCAAATGGAGATAATTGCACTTCTCTCCCAGAGTTGTGAGGATTAAAGGAGATATGTAGCAGGCTGTGAGAGCCTTAACTTTAAGGAGCTGTAGAAATGTTAGCTCCCGTTGTTATTATTTATTAAACGTAGGATTACCAATATAGAAGGGTGTCCCTCAGGTACAGGTTGCTTTTCACTGTTAGACATGTATAAGTAGCAGAGTTAGGATTGGAACTCAGTTCCAGTGATTCCCAGTCTTGCCCTTGTTCCAACACACCGCCCTTGGAAAGAGAGTACAGGTCATAGCCAAGCAGAGAGTACAGGAGCCAGAGCTTCACATCTGCTTTTCACCCTTAACCCAAACCCTGATTCACTCCCTTGCCCATTTTATTTCTTTGTTTCTCATTCCTCACAAATCAGTAGGTGTAGTTGTTGAGTACTTCTGGCTGACAGATACACTCAGTAATTTTGGGGAGAAGTAGGACAAGAGGAATGTGGATTTATTCAGTAACAGCCTGCCCTTAACAGGCAGCTTCTAAGAGGGGAAGAGGCCGCATGGTGATGTTGGGACCGTGGAGGATGAAGTTGTTCCCTGGTCATGCCCTGTGCTGTGCCACGGAAGAAAAGAGGCGGCCTGCTCTCTGTGCATCCTGTCATTTTCTTTTCTGATCCCTGACTGCTTTGTGAAACGTCTCCCCGTCGCACCAGGAGGCCGGCCCAGGAGAGCAGGCGTTCTGTGCAGCGACGAGTAACTCCCTCTTTTTGCGTGTGTTGTTTAGCCGAGTATGCGGGAGTCCGTGTCCTGCGGTGTGGCCAGATGTCATCAAGCTGCCCTACTTCAATACGATGAAGCCGAAAAAGCAGTATCGTCGGAAACTTCGAGAGGAGTTTGTCTTGTAAGATTAGAGTAAACTGGTGCGGCGTGTGCGTGCGTGTGTGTGCGTGCAGGGGTGGTGGTCGCGGGAATTTGTTCTCTCTTGGGCTGCTTACGCTGGGTCCCTGCCTCCTTCAGAGCGCTACATTCGGTTGAATTCTTCGCATCCCTTTATTCCATAGCAGTGTCTACGGTGACCGTTTGTGACCTGCTAGGAACAAGTTTGATCTGGGAGCAGTGATTTTTTGATGTGCATTATTTGGTGATTATGGATAGGAGCCTCAATGTGGAATCATGATAAAAGCTAAAGAAATGTCTGTAATGCCATCTCTTCCCACCTATTTTCCTTTTGTTTTATTTTAAGAAAGTGGCCTCTTTCCTTCGTGACTCTAAGGTGTAGATTATCTGCAGAACTGTGGAAAATCACATTTCAAAATGTAGAGTAATACAGAAAACTGTTTACACAGTCTGTGCCAAAATAACTACTTACTTTGTTCAAAGGAAGCTGTGTCCCCAGAACTCCCTCCCAAAGCACAGTGTTACACACCACTCCATGAAATACCGCCCTGTGGTGGGGGCGTTATACGGGAACACTGGGCGTTCGCCATTTAACACGTTAGCAGAACAGAAATGACTTTTTCCTCGTCTCTTTCGCGGCAGTATCCCCACAGCAGCACTGGATTTGTTCGATTACATGCTGGCTTTGGATCCTGGCAAACGCTGCACGGCAGAGCAGGCCCTTCAGTGCGAGTTCCTGCGAGATGTGGAGCCCTCCAAGATGCCGCCCCCAGAGTAAGTGGCGTGGTTCTCTGTAAATGGCTCTGAGATGAGTCGCCCACAACTGCTCCTGTGATTTCTGGCTAGATAGAGAGACCGAGTGTGCTGTCGCCGCCAGCCCAGGATACCGCCCCCCATCTCCTGTGCTAGCTTCAGGTTTGGGGACGTGAGTTCACGTCCTTCCTGGGCTGCATCCCACCTGGGTGATTTCAATGAAGCCACTTAATATCTCTTGGTCTCAGTTTCCTCATCTGTGAAATGAGCTTGTTGGTTTGCTCTTAAGCTCTCTGTGGGCTTTTGATGTAGGATTCTTGGATTCTAAGGACATTGATAAGCTGGCCAGTAGGTAAAATGCCACGGGGGTGGGGATGGTCCTCAGGATCATATCATGCAAGAAGCAGTTGAAGGACCTGAGGATGGAAAGGATGGAGAACAGGCCAACTGGAGATGGGCTTTCATAGGGAAGAGGGATTGGTGGTCTCCTGCTTGGCCTTGGACTGTGTAACTACAAGAAGAGGAAGCTGACAGTGAATGACCTCAATTTTTTCTGTAAAATAGCGGGCAGTGGTCTTAGCCAAGACATGAGGGGCAGCGGGAGCATTGGTTGGCTTGAGGAGGGATGGGAAGGTATGGAAGAGCCACTGTGCAGAGTAGGAAAGACAGCTGATAAGGGAGGCAGAGGACGAATGCCTGGCAGCCCCATCAGAACAGCTGTGGGACTCTCTCTTTCCTTGCTTAGCAGCATGTATGTGTAGGAGTGAAGGCTAAGAATGGTTGGAGTGGTCCAAGCCTGAGGCTTAGGCAGGACACAGGAGGACAGGGTCACCAGGGGCTCAGGATGGGCGGAAGGAGTGGCTAGTGCAGGGGACATGGCCTAGGAGAAGACTGAGGGGTCCCAGTGGGTTATGTGAGGGAGAGGTAGAAAGCCAATAGGTTGAGGATGGTCGGAGGAGGGGATTTCAGATTCTTGAACATGTAAGTGGTGTCTTTGTGGGTGGTGGCAGGATCAGGGGCGTGGCCATTTTTGTTTGTGGCAGAGGTGAGAGGGAGAAGCAAGTCACGGGAGGTGAGTCGGTTGAGGAACTGAGTGGTGAGAGTGTTGGAGGGAGAATGAGTATGAGAGCAGGAACTGAGGAGGAGCACAGTGTGAGCTGTGTACCAAACCAATGGAGGACGGAAGGGGAGTGGCGCAGCTGTCTGTAGACAGCAGCCACTAGGATTTTTATTAGGTAGATGTGGATCGTATGGACCACAAAGGAGGAGAGGTTACCGAATGACGGAGGTGGGGGGAGAATGGGGGGGGGGGCCGGGGACCAGAGTGTTGCCTTTTTCCGTCGTGGACAATGAGTGCCGGAGAACAGTGAGGGTGTGGCCAGGGAGGCTGTTTTGTCAGCAGAGAAACTCAGGTCTCAGAGACTGCTAGAAGCTGGAAAGATTGGGAGAGAAAAATCTTTTAAGATAAAAAAAGTTGGTTGTCTGGGAAACAGGCATGCCAGAGGGCACTGTGCTAGGAGTTTGCTTGGACTTTGGGGTAGCAGGGTTGAGGGGATGGGAATAATTAATTGGGTGGTAGGGAAAAGGGAAATGAGTTTTAGGTGATAGCCTACATGGGTTCAGAATTGCTGAGATGTGTATGACCAGGTATGAGTATAGTGACTCCTTTGCCCCTCTTGCTCATCTCACATCTCTCAGATGCTTTCTGCCACTTTCTCCTCCTCACCCCTATATCACATGAAGAGCTGGCCTCACTTCTTACCCTGGCAGACCCTCTCGGCCTGTACAAGTGATCTCCTGCCTTCCGCTCTTCTCCAGCAGATAGCCCCCATTGTCATCTCACTCCCTCACTTTCAGCCTCTCCTTCTACTGGCTCCTTCCTGACTGCCTACAAATGTGCTTATCTCTCCCTCATCTTGAAAAAACCCTCACTTGATCCTTCTGTCCCTGCTTAATTATCATCCTATATCTCTTCTGCCCTTTTAGCTGAACTCCTTGAAAAGGCATCTACACTGGGGCCTCCTCTTTTCTCTTCTCTCTCTCTCTTTTTGCCCTTCACCCCTGACTTCCGACCTCATCATTTCACCAAAACTACTCTCTCCAAAGTTACCAGTGATGTCTTAGTTTCCAAATCCAGTGGCTTGTTCTTAGTCCATGTTCTCCTCCACCTTTCTGTGGCCTTGGGCACTGTCCATCACCCTCTTCTCGATAACTCTTCTCTCTAGTTTGTCTCGATACCTCTCTCTTCTGGTTCTCCTCTTCCCTCTCTGTCTCATTTGCTGGACTCTCTTCCAGATCAGCCCTCTAACAACAGATGTCCTCCAGGGTTCCTGTCCTGGGTCCTCTTGTCTTCTCTTTCTAGACCATTTCACTTGATGAGCTTATCAGCTCCCATGGATTTAATGACCATCTCCATGCTGATGGTTCTCAAATCTACTTATCCAGCCCTAACCACTCTGCTGACCTCCAGTCTTACATCTCTAACGGCCACTCGGACATCTTGACCTGAATGTCCAGTAGACTTGTCTAAAACTGACCTCGTTCTCTTTGCTCCTTACTCCCACCCCTCCTGCCTTCCCTATCACTGTAAAAGGCACAACAGCATCTGCCCCATCCCTTAGGCTCACAACCAAGGGGTCACTCATTCTCTCCCCCTTCCCCCATCCAAGTTGTTGCCAAGGGCTGTTCATTTTCCCAGCATCTCTTGAACATGCCCCTCTCTCTCCTCTGATGCTGTACCACCCCCAGTCCAGGCCCTCATCACCTTGTGCCTGGACTGTTGCTAGACCTGCTGGGGGCAGGCAAGGTTGGGGGGGGTGGCGCGGTGCGGGGAAGGATTGCCTTCCTCCACTGAGCCACCAAAGTGATTTGATGACCCCTAGCATTCCATGGGTGTGGTGGGTAGAGCCCTGGGATCATAGCCAGGAAGACCCAAGTTCCAGTCTTGCTTCAGACACCAGCAGGGAGATTCCTTTGAGCAGCACTTAACTGTTTTAATCTGTTACCTCATCTCTTAAATGAAGACAATAATAGCACCTGCTTCACAGGGTTGTTGTGAGGATCAGATGAGATATGTAAAATGTTGTGTAAACCCTGCAGCACTATATAAATGTTAACTGCTGTTATCAAAATGTTTTTTGATTGATTGAATGATTATGGGCTGACTTTTCAGTCTAGTTTAAATTGAATACATATTATTTGCATAATGTGTATATATAAACTGTTTTAAAGTTGCATTCATCCAAACATGAACCCTGATACAGGTGGTTGCCACATAATAACATTAAATTGAAATGATTTTCTTAAGAATACACAGAAAATTAGCTTCAGTCTTCCACATCTGAACTGTTCTAGATGAATGACGTTTGGCCCCAAGGTCTCCTTGCTACCAAATAGCTTGCCCCAAGTTGGGATGCTTATCAGCAAAAAGAAAAGCAACTGATCTTGATCTTGGTGGGTCATTGAGCTATGTTGAGAATTGGCCAGAGAAGGAGGAAGGGACTTTGGTCTAGACTTAGGATTTCATTGGTACAGAGAAACTCCTTTTACCAGTGCAGAGTGGCAAGTGTTACATGAAGTACGGTCTCAGAGAGTTGTGTTGAACGTTGATTGGTAACATAACCATATATGCATCAGCAGTAGGTCTTGAACCCAGGTCTCATGGACTCCTGAGCCAGCCTACTATCTGCTCTGCTATCTGCAGGGGGCTTTTGCCTATCCAAATTAAACTATTTTCCAAAACTGGTGCAAGTTATCTGTAATCGGCTATCGTCATATGGATTTTAAACTAAGTCTGATATCTTGTTCTGTTACTTGGCATGATGTTTCGGTATTATTTATAGTTGATTTAATTGGGTATTTGGTAAGCATGGTTTTGATAAATCATCACTTGCTGATTTTGTCAGAGCTTGTTCAGTTGTTTTCAGTTATGTCCAATTCTTGGTAACTCCATTTGGGGTTTTCTTGGCAAAGATTCTGGAGTGGTTTGTCATTTCCTTCTCTGGCTCACTTTATAGATGAGGAAACTGAAGCAAATGGGGTTCAGTGACTTGCCCAGGGCCACACAGCTGGAAGAGGCTTCCTGTCTCCAGGCCTGGTGCTCTGTGCACCATGGCGCCCCCTGGCGCCCCCGGCCCTGATTCAGAGGTGCTCATTGAAGAACATAACCTGTAGCCAGGAAGCCTTTGTGCCGCGGTGTGAGGGCAGGAATCTTTTCCTTGTTTTGGAAAGATTTTGTGGAGCTCATGAGGCCAGGCCAGAGGTTCGTGTGGAGCATCTCATCGGGCTTCCCAGAACTTTTGACAGTTGACAGCACTGAATCCCTCCGTTTTCTCTTGTAGCCTTCCTTTGTGGCAAGATTGTCATGAACTGTGGAGCAAGAAGCGCCGAAGGCAGAAGCAGATGGGGATGACCGAGGACGCGTCTTCCGCCAAGATCCCTCGGAAAGATCTGTCTCTGGGCCTGGATGACAGCAGGACCAACACCCCCCAGGGCATGCAGGCGAACTCACAACTCAAATCTCAGGGCAGCACCAATGTAGCACTTGGTCAGTAACATTTGCTTGCTTGTATTTTTCTTCCTATTTCTTCTTTAGAAATGGTTAATTATGACATTGCTGTAGAATCAGAAACACCTGGTTTCTAAACGGTTGTCTCTCTAAAACTGTTGGTCTCTCTGTAGCAAACTCTAGAACTAGGCTTGGCATGGCTTGGCATCATTGCCAGAACAGCAGCAGGGTTGTTAGCATTATGGGCCTCTCCTCATTGCCACGGTCTTCAGAAGGGGCCCAGAAGAGAAGGGGACCCCCAGTGGAAGCAGCCCTTAAGGCTGAAGCACCACAGGTTTTTGGAGATACATGGCATGAAGGGAGACTATTTTGCATCTCGTTTTTTTTGTTTTTTGTTTTTGCTTTTTAGTGAGGCAGTTGGGGTTAAGTGACTTGCTTAGGGTCACACAGCCAGTAAGTGTCAAGTGTCTGAGGCTGTATCATCTGACTTTCTTAAAGCTGACTTTTTCAGAACCCTGATTCCGAGAGACCCAGTGTACACATACTTCACATAACAGCTTTTTTGCTTCCTGAGAAGAATTAATGTCCGGGTCCTCTTACCTGGCCATGACAAAAATAATTCATGATAATTTGAATAAAAATAGATGCCTTCTCAATGTAAGTAACACTTGAGATTAGGCTTTTTCCTAGCAAAGTGAGCTTCTTCAAACATTTACTCTCCATTCTATTGGTACCGTTATTAATAAACAAGATGTTTTATAGCCCCTTTGCCTCATCCTACACATGGCATAAAGCATCTTCATGTGTAGCCTCACCTCGTCAGGCTAATGGAACGAAACATATTTGATGAGTGAAAGGCCAAGGACTAGTGCTCTGGATTTGTTGCTGGTTGGTTGGAAAAAGGACTGATATCTCTGGCTGAGGATGAGTCAGAAGTGTAAGACCGTTAACCTCTTACAGGTAACCAGCATTATTGGGGGATAGAAGAGTAGGAATGAAGCAGAGGCATATATTCCAGGTATATATCCTGGGGACCTTGTACCCTGCCCTGGTCACCACCATATCTATCTGGAGTGTGGTGCTCAGGACCTGCGTTAGGAAGGCCAAAAATAATACGGAGAGTTGAGACAATGGTGCTTATGATGATAATGTGCCCCTTCCCCCCATTGATGCTGAAGAGCAAAGAACAGAATGGGGAAGGGGGATTTTCCTCTCTTCCACTCCTCTGGTCCAAACTCTTGATCTTACCTAGTTGGTGCCATCTTTACAGACGATGCCTTTGGCCGCTTAGGTGCATTGGGATTAGCATCTTAAGATGAAAGAAAGGCACTTAGGGGTTGTCTAAACCATAGGTTCCCAAAGTGGGTGGTACCACTCCTTGGAGGGTGCTAGGGAATGATCCAGGGGGCACTTGTAGTTTGAAATGACCCAAATTTCAAAAAAACCATTAAGGGCTTAAAGAAAGTAGATTTCCAGGGGGGTGCTGAGTAACTATTTTGTTTTGAAAAGGAGGCGGTAAACTCTAAACCAAACCCCTTTGACCAACTTAGCCAAAGTCACACAGGTTTTAAGTGACAGAAATAGAAAGGCAGAATCTGATCCCCCGTCCTCCAACCTGAGCCCTTACTCTTTCCACGTACCACCCTGCTTCTGTTTGTTTATCTTTTCTGCTGTCTCTGAGGTTTGAGTTATCGGGCTCTTCTATAGGAGAAGAGTATGGAAATTGATGATCTTCCCACACTCTCCCCAGTCCATTGCAGGCTGCCCATTTCTGCTCCAGAAGCACATGCACAGGTGAAGGGCGCTGGGTCATCAGGCTGAAAACACTGGCCCTTCTTAGTGTTCATGGGTTACAAGTCAGACCCAAAGGCCCAGAAATGTGTCTGTTGTATCACATATGTAAAAAATGGTTAATTTGGATAATTATGAATTCCAGGAAAGAGTTGCTAGGGAGCAGGAGCTCTCTTGGAGGGTACAAACCAGGTAACTGTTCTCCATCTCTGGGCTTCACTTGCAATGAGAGAGATCAGGAAGAACCTGCTAACTGGAGGTGCGCTGAAAGAGGCATTGGATGTGGTTCTCGGAGGGTTCCTGACTGCATTCTCCTATTTAGAATAAGAGCTGGGCGGAGGGATTCCAGGGACTACATTTCTATAGCTTTTGTAGCACCCCCTTTCTAAGAGATCCACACATATGTAGGTTATGGTTTGCAGTTTAATCTCTTGGCTCAATTCAGATAAAATTGAACAAAGAACACTCCAATGTCTCGATACCTGATGGCTGCTCTCTTGCCTCGTCCACATTGTAGTCCTGGGGGAAGGCCACGCTATTGTACAGATGCTTCCCAATTTGCCAGAGCACGTGGCCTAAAACAGGCATTTTCATACTGCCCCTCGATGGTGTACAGAAGGGCTTTAAGGCAAGTTCGGAAAGATTCCCTACCAAGATCGGATATCAGTAGGGTTTTCTGGCGGATTGAGTACACAGGACGGATCATGTTTCTTTCTAAAGTTGTGAAGAGACTTTTTTTTGGTGGTTGTTGTTAAACATAAAGGATTTTGGCAAGAATCTTAAAGTTTTTCCTTCTCATGAAGAATTTACCTCCCAAACTTAAACTCATTAAAAATTGAACATTGGCTCTAATTCTTATTTTTTCACAATAATACATGTTAACTCTCACAAAGTATGTGTAATTGCTCTACACTGAGATTTTTTCCTTAGGACTGTTTAAAGTCACCTTTCCCTACCACATTTCTTCTCTTCTTTCCCCCCCCCCCCCCCCTTTTGGTGTTATGATGGAAAAATCTGCTTTGCTGGTTAAATACCTTCCTGGTCTGGTCTGGACTTTGGTATTTGAATGATGACAATTCTGATTAATAGTAGTTGTTTAAAATTTTGTCTTTAGTAAAAACAGGCACTGGACAGCATTTAAACCACAATGAACTGGCAAAGCTTCTAAACCTACTACAGTCTAAACCAAGTGTTAGTGTGGCTGATTGTGCCCAAATATTGAACATTATGGTTAATACTGAACCTCAGCAGCAGCTAAATAAAATAAACCTTCCTGCTGGAATTTTGGCAACAGGTGAAAAACAGACAGACCCACCAACACCCCAGCAGGAGTCTTCAAAACAGCCGGGAGGAGGAATGCAGCCGTCGACTCAGCCCGTGCAGCCGAAAGTCGAGACTGACGCTGCCCAGGCAGCCGTGCAGAGTGCGTTTGCAGTTCTCCTGTCGCAGTTAATCAAGGCCCAGCAGTCTAAGCAGAAGGATGCAGCCATGGAAGAGAAGGAGAATGGAGCCGGCCACGAGCTGTCTCTGCAGCTGCGGCAGCCTCCGGAGCCCAGCCCTCCTCTACTGGGTGAGTAGCCCCGTCTGCGCCAGTGTGGATTCTGCCAACACCTTGCCCTTGTTTCTGGAGAGTGTGTTTGGGCTGAGGTGAGCAGTGCAGGTGTTGTGACCCCTGCTTCAGAAGAGGAGGCTGCAGGCCCGATCACTCTGCGTCTAGTGCTCTTTCTTCATGGGTGCGCCAAGGAACCGTTCACAGTGCAGGGGAGAGCACTGTGTTCGGTTCTGAGGTCCTGGCTCGGCTGCTCGTGTCAGGGTGATGTGACCTGGGGCGGCGTCTCTTCCCCTCTTCGGGCCTCCCTTTCCTTCTCTGTAAAATGAGCAGGTTTGTCTTGATGGCCGGTGGTCTCGAGATCCCTTCTGGTTCTAGACTTTTGGTAGAGTATGCTCCTGTGGTTTGGTGCTGAGGCTATGTTGGGATCGCTCCCACCCCACGGGGTCTGGCGGGCCGCCACCCAGAGCAGGGCCCCAGATCCCCCATTACTGAAATCACAGACCTTTCAGAGGCATGGAAAAGGGAATCTGCATTTCAGATCATCTGCACGGGGCCCAGGCCGGCAGCGGCCTTCACCGTCCAGGGAGCTGCTTTTGGCTGTGCTCAGACTGTGTCTTGTTACACAAAAAAGATGTATCTGCATTCCAGAACTCTTCTTGTTGCCTATTAGTGCAGAGCAAGAGGGTGACACGAAAGGGGAGCTGAGAAAAATGTCATTCACTTCCTGAATTCGTCCTTTACACTGTATGTATGCATAATTGTGTGCGTTGCACTGAGTGACTTCAAAGATTTCTAAGCCATTCTTCAGTTGGGCTTCCTCTAGTCAATCCAAGGATTCTTAACTTTTTTTTGAGTCATGGACCACTTGGGCAAAAGTCTGGTGAAGCCTAGGGACCTGTTCTTTCTTAGAGGAATATTGTTCAAGGCATAAAATAAAATGCGTAGGATTACAAAGGAAACCAGATGGTTTCTGTTAATTAATATAAAGTTCTGTTGATATATAGATGTATTTTTTCCCCCATCCAAGCCCATGGACCCTGCTTTAGTGTTTGTAGCAGGTATTTATCCATACAGTGAAGAGCGGATTGAGTTTTTGCTGTTTCTTGTCTACTTCTGTGGCTTAATCTCTTGATACTTTGCTCTCTTGCCATGGTTGCTTCTCATCATTCTTGGTGGCCTTTGGCTCCTATCTTTAAGTTGCCACTTTCTGATATTTACTTCTTATTTCTTCTGTTCATCCTTTGTGCCAGTAGAGCATCTTCTTTTAAAGCTCTTACTAGCCAGAGGAGGGAGCTCTTTTTCCTTTTTGACCATGCAGGGCCATTTGCCTCTAGTTTTGGGTAGTTGGCTCTTCTCAGCTCTTTTCATTTTTGCTTTCTGCTCAAAGGCTTCCCTAATCCTTCACCTCACACTGAGGTGGGTGAGCTTGCCATAAGTTAGATTTCCAGGTAAGTGAGGTCTTACATACTTTAAAACATTGAATCGGGGGGGTAGGGATAGGGGTGTAAGGACAGTAGAGGTGGAACAGGCCTTAAAGATAGAGTTTATCACCTTGACCTAAGTGGCACCTGAATGGTGCTAGGCAATTTATGCCCTATATACCAATACCACTGTTATTTTAATACATGTATCTCTTCTGATCCCCCAAAAAGTAAAATCAAATGAGCCTCAGGTGTTTTAAAATTATGATCTTGTTGAGCTTAACATGTAAATCAGTTGTCATTTTCTTCTTTCCTTCCCAGATTTAGAATCCTATTTTGGTGTCCTCCCTTCCCACAGTACTTTGAAGCTGTGCTTATAAGTTGTTTAGAACAGTTGAATCCTTAGGGCAAGCAGTAATTAATTTTCCCCCAGTCCTCATGCTCAGGTAAACAAAAACTCTATCATGTTTTCAACTAGCATATAATAATGATGGCGACAGCGACAAGCAGCACTTTACAAATATCTCATTTAATCTTTACAAGGTCGTGAGAGATAGGTGCTAGGTGGGTGAAAGACAAGTGACTGAGGAAACAAAGGTTGGAGCTTCTGAGTATATCGATTGATTGAGCAATGCATGCCAGTTACCTAACAAGTTGGGACCAGGCCCCTTCCTCAGCTTAGAGCTGGGGACAGGGGAGATAGGTTTTTATACATTAGAAACAATTAGCCAAGTAAGGCCAATTAATTAAAAAGAAACAGTTAACCAGGATACCTTATTAGGTAATCTGATTTCTAATTGGAGGACGAAAGATTAGGGACTTTCCAAGTTGGGAAGGGGAGAGTGAACAGGTGGAATTCCCTGAAATGGGAGAAAGAGGTATCCCACTTCCTCCCAAGTCTCTGTATTCAGTCAAAGGAAGGTAGAAACAATAAGTGATTGAACAGTCTGGGGCCAGTTTTCAGATAAGACATATGGGTTGCTTGAGCTGTGTAATTGTGAGAAAACTCCTTGCATCACTCTACAGATATGCCTGGGTTTCTGGTCAGCATAATCTAGGACTTTATTTAAGAGTCTCTAAGCAGCAGGTAGTGGTGGTCCAGCCTCCCAGCCATGCAGGGACAGGCTCAAACAGTGCAATCAAGTTTTCTCACAAGGCAGAAGTTGGGCTACACTAGACCCATGGTTGAATAGAAAGGGAACTGAGCTAGCTCCAGAATTGAGTCACAAGATGGAGTCAGTATGGTTCACTCAATTCCCACGGTGCTGTTCGTATCCTTGTTTTATAGATCGAGAAACTGAGGCACACAGAAGTTGAATAATTTGTGCCTGATGCCAGTTTGAACTCGGGTCTTCCCAACTCCAGGCCCAGTGATCCACTGTGGTGCCCCCTAACTGCCTCTAATAGAATGACTGTTCCAAGTTGCTTTGTTCAGTTTGATGTGAGAACTTGTGACTTTTCTCCCCCCCAATTCACTTAGGGCAAGATGAACATGTCAAACACGCAGAGATGAGGATGTTGGAGCGAACCCCAGAACAGGAGCGCCCACGAATCCTGCCTCCAGACCAGCGCCCCCCAGAACCCCCTGAGCCACCCCCCCCTTCTGAAGAAGATCTGGATTATCGGACAGAAAACCAGCATGTGCCCACGCCCAGTTCTTCATTGACTGACCCTCACGCTGGAGTGAAGGCTGCTCTGTTGCAGCTCCTTGCTCAACATCAGACCCAGGACGACCCCAAACTGGACACGAGCATGGATTATCAGGCAGGCGACACCTACGTTCCGAGTTCGGACTACAAGGATAATTTTGCATCCTCTTCTTTCTCTTATGTTAATGATGGTTTAGGAAGTGGATCTGTTCCGGCCCTAGAAAGACGAAGCTTCATCGGAAACTCCGACAGACAGTCTTTGGAGACCTACAGCGCGGCTTCATCTCGTTCTGGGGGCCCGCCTCCGCCGCCTGCCTTTTCAGAATCCTTCTCCAGCTCCGTCGCTGGGTATGGAGACATTTACCTCAACACTGGTTCCATGTTGTTTAGTGGAGATAAGGACCATAGATTTGAGTATAGTCACGGCCCAATCGCAGTTCTGGCCAATAGCAGTGACCCTGCCACGGGGCCTGAGAGCACTCACTCTTTGCCCGCCAAGATGCACAGCTACAACTATGGGGGCAGTTTGCAGGAAAGCCCAGTGGGCCCTAGCCTTCTGCACGGACAGACTTGGCCTTCCCCTGCCCAGGGCCCTGGCTATTCCCAAGGATACAGGGGACACATTAGCACATCAACAAGCAGAGGTCGAGGCAGAGGGTTGCCGTACTGAGTATCTGTTTTTCCTCAGGCACATCGTTTTTATCTGGAAAGACTTTCCCTAGCTGCAGTTTCAGGCAGCAGTCCAACAGACTTGAATAATGTTAATTCAACAACAGCTTTATTTTTTATGTGGAAGAGGGTCTTGCATACAATAGTTAAAAAAAAAAAACAAAAAAAAAACCTCACACACAGAAAACCCACCTTGGCTTAAATTCATGCTGTTCTGAAAACTAGATCTCCTGACTGTACATCTTCAGATTCTAGTTAGCAATTTTATTTTGTATTTTCGCAGGTATTAGTGTATGCTAAACTTGGGGACACGAGCATTTTATGACCCTATTGCAGATCTTCTGAACTATGCACATTTGTGCTTTTTTTTGTAAGTTTGGACCAACTTTTATGTAAAAAAAAAAAAAAAAGTTTGCCAAGAATCAGAAAGGGCACTGATTTATCGGGTATTTTTCTTTTTACAAAGCTACCTTCAGCCCAAGGTCACTGTCAGTCTTTGCACCTGCTTTCAGTGTGATTGTGAAAGGTGTACTTTGTGCTCATTTCAGAAAATAAAACACAACCTTTCTCTTGATGCAACAGTTTTATAAAAAAAAAATGGTCAATGTTATTTTTCTTTTGAATTTCCAAATTACTGCATAGCCTAGCAAAATACTAAAATGAAACAATGGGTTTTATATACAAAATATGTTGGGGTGGGGAGGGAAAGTAAGTGCCTTAACAGGTAAGCTTAAAGTTTGAAAAATAGCCTTTACAACCCATTTTTAAAAAAAGGAGATTGGTGCCCTGAATGGAAGAGAGCCCACTCTCGATTCACCTAATGCCCACCCTCCCATGCCCATCGTCACCCCTTATTCTTCTCACCGTTACCCACCCACCCTGCCTGCCTTTGGGTCGGGTCACTAGTCATTACCACCTCCATTAAAAAAGGGTGAGACCGAGATCAGAGAGGAGGATGAAGGTCCTCTCAGTATATTTTGCTACTTGTCAGAAGTTCTGCTCAAAGAGCTTTGTGAGGGATCTGGCTAAAAGCATCAAGGAGAAGGAGGATTTTTATTTTATCTGTGAAGTTCAGTTATCCATCCTATCCCTATTCCCATGGATAACTGAGAGTTAACAGTAGAAGCCAGGGGTCAATAACAGAATGGGAACAGTCCTCTTAGGATGGATAAGGGACAGAAACAGCATTGTGAATTTATCGAATTGCCATTTATTCATTTCCTGTCAGCCTGCTCCACGTTATTTCATTGGTTTAATGAGAGCCATTACCCAGAATGACTGCAGAGGTGACAAAAGAGGGAAACGTTCTGAAAACAGATCCCCTTTACTCCCCCCTTCTAGATAAATTTGACATAACGTCCTGAGTTCTTCTGCCAAGTGTTTATGGAGTTTTAGTTCATTTTAACATTTTTCTTTTGTAAAATAGAAGAGAATGATGGAATAATCCTTATTTAAGCTGCAAGTGGTACCAATTTTAACTCTTTACCCACAAAGAATCATTTAAAAGGGTAGCCAAAGGTAAATAAGTGTTTCCATTATAACTAAATAGAAAATGTCATCTCTGGAAATTAGAATTGTGCCATTCAGATATTCTAATGACAATTCAGTGCTTGATTTGGAGTTTTTAATTGGAAAGATTACTGAATCCAAACCACTCCAGGTATAAAGTTAATTTCTATTTCCAAATGTGCTCCCTCCACCCTTACAACCTAGGCCCTCTCCTTTAAGAAAAAAAACTTGAACCCCATTTCATGGAAAAGGATTTCAGAACAACATATGGAAGGAATCTGATAAATGAAGAGAACTGTTAAAACTCAAGGCACATTCATAACTTTTTTAAGTGGTAAAATTTTCCATTTCACTACTATGAAATGAGTTGCTATCAGTTGGCTTTTAATTTTTGGTGGAGTTTTTTTTGGGGGAAGGGAGGGATGGGGTAGAAGGAAAAAACCCCAAAGTTTTATTTGAACTTTGAGTTACTAACAACTTTATAATTAATTACTACATTGCAGGGAGTGAAGAAAAAAATCTGTAAAATTAGCAAAATAGGTACAGTATTCAAGTATCTGAAGTTGAGTACGGTGAGTCTGGTAGCTTTAGACTTTGCTATAAATGACAGTATCTAAGTTATTCTTCATAGTCACACTAGAGAATCCTGCTGCCCATAAGCAGCTAACCTGGAAATGAAGATATTTATGTGACATGAATAGCCTGTGTTTAAAAAAAAAATTAAATATTTTATATAAAATTGAACTGTTGTTTGGATAGTTTTTCCTGATCAAACATATGTCAGTGTATCTATTCATGTTGCGGGAATGGTGGGGGAGAAAGGAAACAGCTGTGGTACACTGGCTTGGCTTTAGCATTTTAGTTTTGTCTCTGCTGCAGATATGTATTTTAAGGCTTATGGGACATTTAGTATATTTGACTTTATTTGAGCCTTAAAACAGCTCTGTGATACATGTAGTGGGGGCAAGCATCACTGGCTCCATTTTACTTATGAGAAAATCGAGTTGTAATGGCTTGGCCTCTATGCATAACGCTACTTTCTTGGAAAGTAGCCACCAAACACACAGCTGAAGGTGCAAAGACCATTACTGGCAGTAGGCCCTATCCTAGAAATGCAAGCATGGGAGGATGACTACAGATACCTGTACTGGGAGAGGAGCACAACTTGTGGGTGGAAGTCATTCAATAATATAATTGAGAAAAGATCCATGGGTTTCTTCTTAAGAAGCAGGTGATTCTAACATCAGCTGACAAGTTAAATGAAAACAAAAGCTTTAGATTTAGTCAGCTGACCAGGATAAGACTGAAAGGTTTCTCTTCTCTTGACCCATTTTGCAGAAGACACTTCACATCCTAACCATATTTATGTATGTCATACAGTGTTTTTGGTTTGAGATTTAGACTCTTCTTATTGGGAGGCCATTCCCAAAATGAAATGCCATCTAATGTAGAGTAATTTTTTTTTCTAAGAACAAATGTGAGTTTAAAGGACAAGAGATATCTGTTACCAGATATCTAGGGAGGTCAGTTAATTAACAGCAGTTGGGCTCTGTATAAGTACTCAAATGAAATGGTTTTTTGTCCAAAAAAAAAAAAAATACATTGGATTAGCATAGAAGGTACTTTTCATGTCTACCACAAGCTTGATAACAGAATTTGCAGGTGTGTTTGAAATTTTAGTGCTAGATTTAAGATTTCAGTCATAGCCGACTCTTCATGACCCTACTGGGGGTTTTCTTGGCAGAGGTACTGGAGTGGTTTGCCATTTTCTTCTCCAGCTCATTTTACAGCTGAGGAAACTGAGGCAAACAGGGTTAAGTAACTTGCCCAGGGTCACACAACTAGGAAGTGTCTGAGGCCAGATTTGAACTCGAGGAGATGAGTCTTCCTGACCACAGGCCCAGCATTCTACCCAACTGCCTTGATTTTAGATAGTGGTTGACAAAAATACCTCTGTCAGGTTCCTTGGATGATCAATCCATTGTGATGATAACCATGGATTCCAGGTTTAGGGCTTAAAAAGAGATTAGGCCATCTTTGAGAGTAACCTGATAGTTATTGTGAAACAAGACGGCATTAATTAGGTGGTTAGTGTTTACTTGTCAGGATTCAAATATTAATTAACTTGAGCATGTTTTGGGGTCCTGGGGATGGAAATGCTGCAAGCTGGTAAGTTTATGAAGGAAGTGGAGCCAAAAAAAATGGCTTGACATCGATGGGGCAGAGGCCAGGCCAGTCGAAAGCCCACTTGCATGGAGTGAATGGTTCTGCTTCCCAATGGGGGCTTAACAGAATGCACCACTGCAGTGTCCGTAGAGATGGCCTCTCCCCCATTATAGGGCTAGGCCCCTTCCTTTTACAGCCACTATTCAATTAATATCATGGTAAAGGATAAGGATTTCTACTTACTTAAACATCTTAAAATGGATTTCTATTTACTTAAAATCTTAAAATGTTTTATTAATCTTCCAATAATTCTCCTCGTAGTTTAGCTTAATCTTGTTTATCCATGTGTCTAGTAAGGGACCTGGGTTCATCCCCCAGCTCTATTTAATACCTGGGTGACTCAGGCCAGTAATTTAGCCTCCGTCACCCTCCTGGGTTTGGCCTGGATTATCTCTGAGGAAAGGCCCTTAAAATCCACAGCTGAGACCCTGTGAGATGCTAATTACCTAATGTACCGTTAGGTAGACAATTGTGAGCTGACTGCTGTGCCAGGCCAGGTTTGGATTGGGGATCGGTGGTGGCACTTTTGTTCTATTAATGGCGATTGATAAGCACTTAGTGAGCACCTGCTGCATGCCAGACACTGTTAGGCTTAGGGCTCCAAAGACAAAAATGCTCTAAAGGAGCCCGGGAAGCTCAGGCATATAACTACCTACAGAATAAACACTAGGAAATAGTACCAGTATACATGAATCACTGGCCTTGCACAAACCAATGTTGATGTAAATGAACTGACCATTTAGAATCAGTTTCTCTAGCATTCGTGAAATCAGTTTGCATGGGTTTTAGTATTTTTAAGTAATAAATACTAGATAATGAATTATCTGTAAAAACAAAAAATAAGGATCTTCATGAAAAATTAACTCCCCCTTTCCAAGTGTTTATTCTGTAGGTAATTCTGTAGTAATTTAGAGAAGGGCACCAACAGTCGTGGGAGAGATCAGGAAAGGCTTCACTTAGGTGGTGCTTGACCTCTCGGAGAGAAGGCACATTGGGCATGGGGGACAGTTTTCACAGTTCACGTAGAGGCCAGAGCTGGAGGCCCAGTTAGGCTTTGGGAAAGGGGAATCAAGTGTAATGAGGAGACCAAGTTGTGATGGACTTTAAAAAGCCCAACAGTTTCTGTTCCACCCCCAAGGCCACAGGGAACCACTGGAATATGCACTGGGGAGGCGACGGTGATGGCCAGACCTGGGCTCAAGGAAAATCACTGGCAACTCCTCTAAAAAGCCAAGTGGTTGCCTTAGGGCAGTCGACAGCTGTGTGGCCTTGGGAAAGTCACTGAACATCTCTGGGCCTCAATTACCTCATGCACAAACAAAAGGTGGGGGGCGAGGGGTTAGACTGGCCAGTCTCCCAAGACCCTTCTAACGCTAAATATATGATCCTAAATAGGCACCCTGGGCTTCATTTTCCAGGGGAAGAAACTGAGGCTTAGAAAGGTCAGGTAAAAGAACTTCCCAAAGTAGCTAATTCATGGCGGAGCCACGGGTCTCCTGGTATCTTCCACCACCGAAGACCTGCACCCCCATCAGAATCTGCTGGACAGGCTTGGGAGACTGCTTGGCTGGACAATCAATGGCCCTCCTTCCCCTGCCACTGTGCTGTTGAGTATGTGGGTCTGAGCTAAACCCAGGGGCAAGAACCCACAAGGATACACCTTAAAGGTGAATCAGAAAATGCAGATCGGGACAAAGTGTGACCCAAAGAGGAAGGCTCACGGGATAGATCTGAACTCGGGGCAAGGGAGTGGGGGAAGGGAGGGAAACCATGCTTCAAAAAGTCATGGAAAATGAACCATTTTGTGACTCGGAGAACTCTTCCCGCCACCCCTTCGTTTTTGG